CTACTGTGGTTTTAATATAACATTTGAAAGATATCGATAACTGCGATTAACTGATTGTTTAATTAAATTAAAAACTTTTTACCTAAACCAAATAAATTATTTTTCAATTTTCGTTAACAAAATATTTTTAAAATTAATTTTAATTGATTTCGACAAGTGTGATTTATTGATTATTTAATTAAATTCAAAATAATTAACAAAAAAAAAGTTATTCTTCAGTTTACGTTAATAATATATTTTTTTTATTTAAGTTAAATTTATCACAAATTAATAAAACAAAATTAAGTTTTATAAATTTTCTTCATCAGTTAATAATTTTACAACGGAAATAGTGAGAAATTATTTCCCAAACGGAAATAAAAACTTTCCGATGACAAAAATATTAAAATGCATAATTAATAAATTTTCTTACTTACTAAATTATTTAAAAAAAAAATCTTTTAGTTTTAGTCGTGCATAATATTTTTGTCTAAATATTTGAAATAATTTTAGATGGCAACGCTGAAAAGCAAATTTTTAAATAAGCAAATAAACAAATAAACAAAATTTTCAGACTAAATGATGAAGTGCCAAAAGCAACTTGTAAGCATAAAACACAACAATAAAAATCATTGAATTCATTTTGTGCCAAAAAAGCAAATTCTGCAAAAGCTTCTGGCCAAAATGAAGACAATTGCACAAATTAAATAAAACATAAGGCCAACAAAGAAACAACACATAATTTACACAACACAAAAGTAAAAACAAAATTGTGTTTTTTTGTTTTATTGTGTACTTAGGCAGGGTAGGAAAATTGAATGAAGTTGCCTATGCTTTTTGGCACTTCAATACCATTTCAGCTTTAACTTGATTTTATGTTACATTTTGATTTAATTTATTTATTTACATTTATACAAAAACTATACAAACGCTTGTATGTATGCGTGTGTGGTTTTTTGTAATGGTATGTGCGTTTTAAGGTAATGCAGGCATGTGTGCATGTATGGCAAATAAGCAGAAATGTAAATATTCACAAATTGAAACCGTAAATTCATTTACAAACAACAACAAATACGATTCAGCATTTGTACTTACACAAGGAGGCGGGCAGTTATATTTGTTTAATTATTAATGCCCAGTGGGAAATTTTAATGCTACTGCAAGCTGTTGTTGTTGGAGGGAAATTGAAGG